CGTGTAAAGAAAATAGAAGGTGCAATGGTTTTGAATGAATTTCTTCGATTCCCTAACTATTCCTCATACAGAGATTATATACAGCACTTTACAATTAATACATATCTACAATTTATGGCATGCAAGCCGTGATCCCTAGTTTGTGGGATTGGCCTAGGCTAGGAAAGGCATATAACTTTTATAACTTTTCCCTGATCTGTGGGATTTCACCTAGGCTAGAAAAGGCATAATACAATTATAATAATATTTCCTTAATACATCATATGAGCTTCGCAGCTTATCCCGGATTTTTACTTTGTTCAATGCACGATTTCCAGAGTGTAGGACTGCTTCTTGCAGAGTACAAGTAGCGGTCAAAGAAAGAGGATTTCAAGAGGTGTAGCTAGTGTTTGCACTGCAGTACAGAGTAGAGTTAGTTACTTTTATTGTAATTTCGTTTCCGTTGATTCTTTGATTATTATGTATGAGTCTTAGCTGACTCTATGTTTTATTATATCTCTACTTCCAGCTACCACGTGTCGATCCTGGTGTATCTCGAGATCAGAGCATGACAACTTCTGCCGACCCAATGTTGATTTAGGCTAGAACTGCTTTCGTCTTCAGTTGTTTGGCATGATACTCATCTCTTAGAGATTCTTCTGTTTATTCAGTCAAGTTTATTGGTCTCGAGCCACAAGTTTGTCTCCCCTTTGTGATGAATGATTTTTTTCCCCTAACAACTCATGTTTTTAATCCTTTTTAGTTTTTTTTTTTTTTAATGGAGTTCAATTTTTGTCCCGCCTTCTGTTTTTTTTTTTTTTTTCTTTCTTTCTAATCAATAATATTTTCCTCTTACCGTGGAGGTTACTTGTCTTGCACGAGTAAATTATATAGCCTTGTATTTCATCTTAAATTCATTCATCAATCAGTAAAAATAATATTCGTAATTCTAACATGGTATCATGTCAATGAATTATGATAGTGATAATCTAATCACTCATCCTAGAGGCAAAGGTGTCACAAGAGTCTCCAATAAAAAAAGCGTTGAATGTACAAATGATCCTTCGACGTATGGTTTTGGGCATTGGTCTGGTGGCAACACCCATCCAATCTAGTGAGGTAAATTTGATTGATGAAGTTACTAGCACCGTGTCAATGACGCAATACCTCTCGATCAATTCGATAGTTTGGTGGTACCAAGTAGATGATTAGTGTGGTGAATATCAGTGGGAGGGGTAATATGTGAGGATTGGAAAAAATGTCTTAACATCAGAAAATTAATAAACCTCGTAACAATTAATAAGAGCATTTCCAATCATGCTCTTTATTTTTTTAGTTGAATTTTAGCTAAAAATGCTAGAAAGCTATTTTAGGAGCTCTCTAAAAATATTATACTCCAGCCAATTAAGAGGAATAGAGTACTTTATGAATAAAATTATCAAAAATTGTATATAATGTTAGGAGCTCCTTTCTCACTCAGATTTAGAGTATTTAAAGCATCCTAATGGAAGTCCCTATTTAGGGACTCCCACCACCACTTTTAAGTATTCATTTAGGAACTTAAAGAGAATGTTTCTGTACCTAAAAGAATAAAAAATTGTTATTAGCACTCCAAAAATCTCATTCTACACTCCTCACAAGTGTATTTTTCTTTCTAATTATGGAAAACTTGGAGTGTCAAATAAGATTTTTGTAGTACTAATAACAATTCCCAAAGAATATTGCATCTAATAGTGAATAAAGGGAGTCCTTACAATAGAATCCACAAATTTGAAGTTTTTATGATTTTATATGATAATTTGATTACGTGCATATTTTTTGTTTATGTTAATATTTTTTAATTAGTTAAAATCATTAAAAGCATTAAAATCTTTAATCAAGATTGTGGGCTCCATTTTTCACTCAAGGTGCACATTTTTTTTTATGTTAACCATTTTTTTTAACTAATTAAAAACATTAAAATTAAAAGTATTAAAAATATTAAGAGCTTCAATTAAGATTGTAGGCCCCGTTTTCCACTCAAGATTGTTCATACACAGTTTCTATATGTGAGAACATACACTATCTATCCGGTGAGTATCTGTACTTTAGAGACTCACTTTCCGACCCATTAGAGATTCGTTTTGTTCCTATATTTGTTTTATACTCATGTTATACGGTGGTTGTTTCTATTTAAAGACTCTACTGGAGATGCTCTTAGCAATCATATGAGCATGTTAAATAGTGCAATGGAAAATGATAATTTCTAGATAATCTTTAATTTTTACTTAGGAACAAAAGCGGATGCATGTATGGACCAAGTGATCCCAAGACCAATCAAAAGTTCAAAGAAGAGCCTATGAAGACATCCGAGAACCACTCAATGGTCTGCGCAAGTGGTGGAAGAGAGAAGACCATGATGGTTGGGCAGATGTTGTGCACCATTAGCTCTAAACCAAGAAGAAATATCACCACGGCTCTGCTATTCTTGGACCTTGGTTTCAACAAAGAAGAAAAACATTCTCTCTCAATTTCCCACGTATCAACTCCCCATTTTTCTTTTTCTTTTTTTATTTAAAAAAATTCCAATCAGGTTGTGCCACCTAGCATTTATTTGAGATGGTGTATTACTCAACCATTTATACCATATGTTTGACACTGTTATTTCTTATAAAAATCACAATATATAAGTTCATATGATCTGCGAAAAATATTTTGTAACGTACTATGAACTCGTAGTTACTTGAACCTTCATCTCATACCATCAAATTCACTAAAATACTAAAGCACAAATTATGACATTTTTATATGTTACATGTTAATAATAAACCTAATTAAAATAATAAACTGAAATTCTCAATACAAATATAGTTTTTTTAAGTATAAATAACACTTATTTTTATGTTATATAATAACTTTATTTAAACCCACGCGCTAGGTCTAGCTTGATGCCTAACTAGCGCCTTAGTGTACCTTGATTATGAGTCTATGACCACCCGATGTTAAATCTTGGATCCCCACTGGTTAGGAATTCATTGGAGATACTCTAAGGAGTTGGCCACTCACCTTAGCTTCGAATCCTTATAATATTAGATTTGTTGATGTGTGAAATCATTATACGTGTTCCACATTACTCAATATTTGTTGTTTACATATTCTACTTGACTACAGCCTTAATTTTACCAAAATACCGAAGGTTACAAAAACTTAAAAATAGAAAATTGTAAAATCCAAAAGCACCGGCCTGATGGCGCTCTAAAGTTTTATACTGGGAGAATGGAACCCAGAAATATAAAATATTTAATAGTGGGATATATGAAATTAAAATTGTGATTCGAACAATTATTTCCATAAAAGCAGGGGAACACATTTGGCGCTTGCATAGAACGTGCAGGCCTTCATGACTTTGGATCAAAGTTACAATATTAAACACGAAATGGTTCATTCTCTTTTAATTATTCACAGATTATTTTTAGAAAATTAATCTTATTTGGATACCATGTAGACATCATTGTTATCATAATCGTGAATTTGTTTGAAATGCATAAATAACTAAATAATCTTCAAATTGAATGAATTATTTTTTAAAATTGTTTTTAAATGATGATACAAAAAATAAATTGCTTCGATTATCATTTTGTATCACATCGAAGGAGGAATGGCTTCTTCCCAAACATTATCATTGTAGAATTGAGAAACTCAAAATCCTTATATATGAATCTGACGATGAACAAGTATTGCCGTTCACTGTTCCGTCTTCGTATGACCAAATTCAAGAAAAAGGGCGATCTGCTAAACTATACATATTGCATTTCTAAATCAATTTTGGTCACGTCTCAACAAACATCACCATTATTGTTTTCAACACGATCAGCCATCCTTGTCTTTCATAATCATTATCCTCTCATGCTTCTTCCATACCCCACATAAATTGATCCGGACGTTTTTATCTAACAAGAAAACGAATGTCATAAAGTCATACCACAATCATGGGCACGTTTGAAAATATTTTTATTTAAAATACTTGAAAATACTTTTGATGAAAATGTTTTTGGAATCAATCCTTAGTAAAAATGCAAGTGAATTCAAAAAAAAAATTTCTCTAAATATGCTTTCATTCATTTTAAAAGTAATTTCAAACAAGCTCTGCAATGCTTACTATAAAGCCAAATGCCCATCCTTTCTAGACGAGAGGACTCTAACTAGGGAAATTTCCTGGATAGGAACTATAGAACCACGGGAGATAATTGCTCACTCGTTGTTTTTACATACCAACTTGGATACATAGATGGGAACAAAACTTAGGAACACTTATACTAAGTCCTTATTTATGTGAGGACATGACATCATTTCATTGTGCATACACAATATAGAATTAAAATCGTTCATTCTTTTTATGATTATCAAAGATCGTCTATAGAAAAGTTCATTTATTTTGAAGACTGTTTACCTATCTATATTTGTCGGATAGTTCGACAATTATAGTAACAAATAATATACTTATGATGAACCATCAATTTATTATATTTATATGAATTGACTAAATGTTTTCAGAATCGAATGAATAATGCTATAGATGATCTTTAGACGATAATAAAGAGAATAAATTTCAATTATAACGCATATACAGTAAAATTGTAACACATCATGTGAAAAAGAATATTTCTTACTTGTAAAAGAGCTAAATAGTGTCTATATACACATAATTTTTGTCACTTTTTGTAGCCTTTCTGTCAATTTTGCTATTTTATATTTAGCTTTGTCACCTATGTTTGTCCTTGTCCGGAAAATTGTGCTGCTTTCAACATATGCAGAAATAATTTTCTATGGGCATATCCATTTTGCATGCATCCAAATTATTCTTCAAAAACCTTGTTCTCTTACTTTTGTATACCTCAACCCTTTGATCTTTCACGCACTCCAGCTAATGATCCCAGTTCATCACTCGTATTTTTTCCTCTATAAATATTCCTGTACATTCCCTAATGTTTTCATAAACTAATACTCCTCATCAACATCAGATCCTTATCATTGTTCTCCTTTAGATTACTAATTTTGGAGAGAGAGAGAGAGAGAGAGAGAGAGAGAGAGAGAGACAAACATTTGAGATGAAGATCATTAAGACTTCGATCCTAGCACTTTTCTTTCTTCTTCCTTTTGTAGTGGCTGACCTTAGGGTTAATTTCTATACTGCTACCTGCCCCCGAGCTGAATCAATCATACGTCAACTTGTGCAGAAACGGTTTGCAACTGATTCATCTATCACTGGGGCCTTGCTTCGCATGCATTTCCATGACTGCTTTGTTCGGGTAAGCTACATTCTTACATTGAAACACATTTTTCTATTGTTAATATGTACTTCTACTTCGAGAAATTATTTTTCTTCTTAATTTAGGTGATATTTTATTAATTAACAGTCAGGATCAAAATGTAAGTGTAATACAATTTTTATTATGTGTTCGAATGTAGATTGATACTCGATATCAGTCAATATCTCGTTTCATCAACAATTAACCAATGCACTTTTATACATATTGCAGGGTTGTGATGCATCCATACTTATAGATTCAACCAAAAATAAGTCATCTGAAAAATCGGCAGGGCCAAACTTGACTGTACGAGGATACGAGCTTATTGACGAGATCAAGAAAAGCCTAGAGGCTGCATGCCCTTCAACTGTATCCTGTGCTGATATTGTAACCCTAGCAACCCGGGATTCAGTGGTTCTTGCAGGAGGGCCAAACTATGCTGCTCCAACAGGACGCCGTGACGGGCTCGTATCAAACCCTGACGACGTTAACTTGCCTGGTCCATCATTTTCAGTATCTCAGGCATTGCGATCTTTCACTGTCAAAGGGATGACCCTAAATGACATGGTGACCCTATTGGGTGCACACACGGTTGGTTTTGCCCACTGTAATTTTTTCCAAGATAGGCTTTCAAATTTTCAAGGGTCAGGATCTCCTGATCCGTCAATGGATCCAGCTTTGGTTTCAAAGTTGAGCACACTTTGTGCAGCTAGTAACAACCCCACTACATTTTTGGACCAAAACACATCTTCCACTTTTGATAACCAGTTCTACAACCAGATTCTTTTTAAAAGAGGTGTGTTGCAGATTGACCAAGAGCTTGCTTCGGATACATCTACGGCTGGTATTGTTTCTGGATTTGCATCAAACGGCGTGAGGTTCAGTCAGAGCTTTGCAACTGCTATGTTAAAGATGGGGAGTCTCCATGTTCTGGTTGGAAATGCGGGTGAAATTAGGAAAAACTGTAGGGCTTTTAATCCTGCCAAGTCAAAGAACTAAATTATGTTAAGAGGGCTCTAATTAATTGTTAATTAGTTTCAGTATTCTTTGCTGTGGAGAATCTGAAGAAATAAGTCTTACTAAGTCGTTGTGCATGGTGTTAGAAAATCTGAATTTCATTGAATGAATAATAAAGTTACACCATTGTTGTTTATATACAACTCTTCACTCTCTCACATAACTCTAACCTTCTAACTAACTTGCCACCTATTACAACAAACTCAACAAATTAACCAACTCTAAGTTTTATCACTAACTATGTAACAACCCGTCTCGGAATTTACAGAGCAAAAATGGTATTTTTGTATTTTTACTAAATTTGGGGATATTTTTCCTTTAAAAATGGTTTATAGGTCTTAAATGGTGTGCCCAAGGATGGCCCACCCCTGATTTGTCCCCCGGTTCCTTTCCTCTTTTCTTTCTTTCTCTGATTTTTTATAACTCTCTCTCTCCGCTCTTCTCTTCCTGTAACCTCATCTTTCTCTCCCTCCTCTTCTTCTCTCTTTCTTTCTCTCGTGTGACCCCCGGACCTCTCTCTCCCTCTGTGATCTCTCCCTCTTTCTCAAGTTTGTCACTCACATAAGCAATAACCCCAAACCAACACCACTGGACATATGAACCTCGGGAAAACTCAAGCAAACCTTCATGACTGTTCATCACTTCTCTGACATGTTTCGTGTTTTTTTTACGTTGGTAAGCTTCTAGAAACCCTTGGCTTGTGTTTTAGGGTTAGATCGAAGGTTGTTTTAAGTGGTGTGTATGTGTGAATCGCAGAAAATGGCTCGGAGTAGTTTTTCCAAATTTTCCAGCGAGCACCATCCCTTCCGAGGAAATTTCCGGCCAAACCACGGCGAGTTGGCTGATGTGCAAAGTATCAATCTCTTCTGCGAGGTATCAATCTCTTCATCTCGCTGAGTACTACAACTTTCCTTTTTGAATCACCCAATTTTGTTGAGTATCGAAGAAGTTATGGGCGTTTTAAGTTTGCCCAGAAACCGGCCAAAACCTTGGCTTGAAAATGGGTCAAACCGACCCATTAACCTAAGGCCCAACCCAATTTCCCAAGCCCAAGTCTGAAATCCAAACTCAGGCCTTTGGGCCGGATCACTAAGCCCAAACCCTTGAAAACCCAACCCAGTTTCCTTTTATTAAATTTTTGTTTATTTTTATTTTCAAAACCAAAACCCTTTTAGTTGGACCGGGCTTTCAAGCACAATACCCTTTAAACCCTAAACCCTATTGGACCCAAACCTTTTAGGCCCAACCCGGTCCAACCCAAAACCCTTGCCCTCGTATCCGTTGACTTTGACCCGATCTAACTTTGACCTAGTCAACGTTCAGCGTTGACTTTGACTTTGACCGGTCAACGTTGATTTTGACTTAGACCATTGCCTTGTGATAGGAATTCGGATAGTACATCACGTGTTTTTATGTAAATGATGAAAAATTTTATTTTTTAAGTTATTAATTTTTTAACACACATATCCTACCATTTATATAGTAACACATGATGTACTATTCCGTGTAACGTTCACACTGAAAAATCTCTCTAGAAAAACCAGCAAACCTGTGCAAAGAAATGCAAATTTTCTCTTTCCTCATGCTCTAGCCTCTAGCCCTTATAAAAATAAAAAAAATAAAAAAAGAAAAAAAAAAGCTTTCATTTCTTTATGCTTTGGGTTTTAAAAGAAAATAATGTATTCGTGCTTGTTTTGAGCATTGAAAATTTGAAAGGCCATAGATTTTTGTTCTTTGTGTTCTTCAAAATTAGGTGTTATTTTTATTTTTTTTTATAGAAGAAGGGCCTCAACTTATTTTCCCGCACAGGCCCTTCAAATCAACGGACCGGCCTTATTGACCAACCGAGCCCTATGCAAAAAAAGTGTCTTCGACGTACAAATTTCATAATAAGTGTTGTTCAATTTTTTAATATTCATTTGAATATCATCAATAATCGATCTTAAGTCGTCTCATTCATATTGCAAATCAAATTCTCAAGTTTCAAAACCGAAAATCAAATTTCTAATTGAAGTCTCAAACATGTGAGTTCTGGCTTAAAATAAATGTGAGTTGGCTAAGAAAGATGACGGAAAGGTGTCAAGCAAAAGGAGGAAGAAAGAACCTTCAAGGTGCCACCATTTCGTCTCAGAAAAAAAATGGTTCAAGTTGCGTAAACACGCTTTCTTTCAGAATTCATTTGTTCTAGTGTGCAACAAAAATATCCAAATAAATCTTATGAGTACAATAAAATTATCCAAATTTGAGACTATATCATCCAAGCGTTTAGGTCAAGACGTATATTGGGCTTTTTCCTTTTTAGCTTCCAGGGCTGTTGGACTAACATGACCTAGAGGGCCATCATTGAAAACTAATTTGAGCCTAATTCCTTTCTCCCCCACAACCCCCACCGGGTTATAGCAAAATTATCTTTCTAAATGAACAATACATAGGCAACCAAAGTAGGTTTAATTACTTCATGAAAAAAGGTTTGCCCTTCTAAATGAACAATGCAAAACCAAGTGGGCAAATATGTTTTGATATTTTTCATCTTTAACAGTCACTTTTATCTTTCTTTTTGTCATCACCCGTTTTGCGTACTCTTAGTGAAGTAGGCAGCACGCAGCAATGCCAACTCAATTACCTATACCATGTTAGCTAATTTATGCCTAACTGGTTCATCAAAACATGTTTGCCTATACAATGGGAGATGATCTCACAATCAGCACACTATTCTAGCAAAAAAAGAAAAGAAAAAGTTCAAAATCATCATCATTTCCGATCTCAATTGTTAAAGTAATCAACTTTAATATGTTATCGATATTTGATCTTTATTTCGTTAATATTGATTATTATAGTGACAATATTTGATTTTAATGAGTAACAATTAAAAATTAATTTCTCACTATTGACAGTGCGACTACTAAAGCTACAGTACTTGGAACGATAAAGGTACCCACAAGCACAGTGAAGATTCCTCGTGCTGTTACTGAAATTGGCAGTTTTCCATTTCTAGCTAAATTCCGAGAGCCGAGAAAACCTTGTAAACTTGACAGAAATGGAACCCTGCCAAACTCCCAATCCCATGCAACATAATTATTTAATAAACTTACTTGTAGGCTTCAGTTTTTCTTTCTTCTTTCTCATTAATTTCTTTATATAGTGTAGAAAACACCGTTTATCCTTTTTTTTTTTTTTTTTTTTTTTTATTTTATTTTGGGATAAATTCTACGGCTAAGATTGTAGAAAAGGTATTCCAAGAGACAACGACCACTACCAGCATCTGGTTCTGCTTTTAGGGCACATCCTTTGAGTTTTTCCAGTTTTGCATGCTCACCGTTGAATGAACTGAATATTAGACAAAGTGAACGTGTGTATTTGTACCAAACTATCAAAACTAGGCGCTTTCGGTCCCAGTTTAATAAAGTTTTTGCGATATATTCGGTTTACACACATTTGATAAAAATTCTTCCTCAAAAGACCCATCCAAAGTTTATCCAAAAAAAAAAAAAATCCATCCAAATATATTAAAAATTAGGGTTTTGGATTTGAGCTTTCAGTGTAATATTTTGCATTCGAAATGACAAATTGAGCGTAATGACATAAAATTAGGGTAATTTAACTGCAGTTACAAGAAAAATCAACAGTGTTTGTGGCACAAAATGGGGTGGGGCTATATTCGTGGCCTTAATTTGTTGATTTTTTTGGTAGTGTGCCAAAGCTCCAGCATCACCAACCCTTAAGGTTAATATGTGCCTCAACATAAACAGCAATAACCTTTCCCTTTAAAAATGTTAGTCATGTGACCTTAGAAGACAAATCATGTTTTGAGTTTTTCATATTGTAGGTGGAAGTCTTGTGTTTAAAGACGTCAAAATCTTGAGGCTATCAATATGTGTCAATTGGTTTTATGTTAGATACTCACATCATAACATGTTATATCATTGCCAAAAAATTTTTGTTAGTATGTCCAATAGTCTCACATACTTCTACGTTAGCTAATAAAAATTATGCATAAGTATAGACATAAAAACACCATACATGAAGAGGCGTGATAAGACATCTCATGTTGAAGATAGAAATCTTGCTTGGAAGGCTTAAAAGATCTTTTGGGTTGGACACCTTCATTTTAATAGATATCTTCTTTTATTATTATTTTTTTTTTTTGTCAAACATTTTAATAGATATCTCATGTAACACAAAAAAATATGCATCCCTACATCGTTAGTTTGTCGAACTAGTTATCAAATCCAGTAAATTAAATTAGTAACGTCCAAAATTTTTAATTAATTATATTCATGTTTTCAAAGAAGACACTTTCTCATAAACTAAAATTTTTGCGACAAGTCATATAAGAAGTTCTAGTGTTCCTAGTTGAAGTAGATATTTTATTTTTTATTTATAAAGCTATATATGGAAAAGGGAATCAAACGTCAGCCTTCGAGTGACCAAAATACTAACTGAAGTACAAATTCATAATTGATTAAAGTAGAAAGTGTATGACCATTTGGGGTTCTAACTTCTTCTTTCTACTTTAGTAGAGTAATAAATAAAACTCTAAACTCGAAATACACGTGATCGATCTTATATTACACCAAAAAATTTAGTTATACATTTTCTTCCAATTTGATTGATATATATGAAAAGATGTTCTCGTGTTCCTTGATGAATCCTAATTTTTATATATACGAGCAATAAAGAAAAAAAAAATCAAACTTGAGACATTGAGTCCAGTAGTACTCTTAACCAACTAGCTTACAACGACCTTTGCTGGTTAAAGCAAGAGCTGGATGACCATTTAGACATTAAATTTTTTTTCTTCTTTTAGTAGAATAATTAATAGAACTCCGAACTCGGAATACACGTGATGTCACGTTATGCTGAATATTTCAGTTATATCTATAACATCATCGCTATAGTACTTCTTTTATTTAACTTCCTCCTAAGCATTTATACTATTGTTAAGGAAAAAGTGCTTCATATCTACTATTAAAAAGATATGAATAAAAATTTGTGCATAATGGTATCAATATCATCATGTGTATTTCAATGTTCAACTAAATGTCGAACTAAGCCACTTGGATTATCCTAGCGGTGAGGGTGTGTGATAATTGATGGGAGTAGGTTAGATTCAGGATTTCACTGTAACAAATGAAAAAAAATATCGAACTATGCCGCTCAAACAATTTTCTTTCTTTCTATCATCATAATTAAGTGATAGTCTATCCTAAGTTAATCTAAATTATGATGCGCAGACAAACATGGATGTATCTATATTGGTACTACAAATATGCTCTCTTTACACACTCGAATTTGAATTTCTGCTCATAATCCGTATGACATTAAAGTAAAATATGGTCCTTTCAAAAGATTACAAATAAAGAATTCAAACTTAAGTGCAAAATGAGACGTCTGATACTCCTCGTATATAATCTTTAATTCGATGATATAACTATGTAAGTTGCAGTAATGCACGCAGAAAGTAACTGTAAGTGTTTCATGATGAGTAGCTACTTTTTGTTTTGTTTTCTTATCAAATATTATTTACGCCTTTCTTCCTTTCTGAAAAACTAGCTAGATCCCCAAGCATTGTATATCAAACACGTTCTCAGAAAACAGCTAGATCCCCAAAATATCATGCCTTTCTTCCTTTCAAAAATAATATTAACTGATCCCTTTCTTTGTACAATTATCATTGTTAGTAGTTTATGTTTTGGCAAACAATATCGTGTGTAGCTCTTGGTTTTTTAAAGTTACAAACTAGTCAAATACATGCATCTTACACTTAATCAAGAAACATATAATGATAAAAGGCAGTGACATCAAACTAAAAATAATGATTAAAGCAGCCTCCCTTATTGTATATCAGGAAATCTAGAAATAAAGGGATATCAGGAAGTGTGAAATTTAAAATGGACAGCACCATAATATTCATACATTGCAGCAATAAACCTTAGTCATGAAGCAACCACCATATAACCTGCAGAGTGCAGAGTGCATGCAGATCCTGGAAAACAAAAAGTTAGAAAAACGCATAAAAGCCAGCACAGACACAAAACCGCGTCTGAAAAACAGAGTCGGTTCATGTTTTGTTCTCAAAACCCTAATATTATATTGCAACAAAGATAAACCAAAAGTGCTCGATTTTTAAGCCAACCTTTACGGCCTCATACCCTCCTCTCGTTTAATGTAAAATAAATAAAAAGATTTAAACTCTGCTAGGTTTGTCTAACGTCACAGAATAAATTATTGCCACCGTTTTTTGACCATCCATTTGGCCTGTTCCTCCCTCTCATCCTATTTTCTTTAATGGCTTCTTCTTCTACAGCTTTCCAGCTTGCGTTGCTTCCCTTCTCAGTCACATGCACTTGCTCCTGCTCTCTCAGACCTTAGTTTTCTTGTCCATCTTTCAAACTGCACACCTCTCACAATCATCATCCCTTTTGTTTTACTAATTTGACCTTTTCTTTTGGCTATTTTCCCATGCAAACCTTGTTCGTATATAGTACGTATACAATACAATGGCATATTATTTCTACATAGACTTTTACTCTCTCTTCTATATTTATCGAGCTAATGAATTGTTGATGCACAAATCAGTAAGACTTTGAAACAACGTAAAGTGTCAAGTTTATGGCCTTTTCAAGGTTGTTTCGATCACCTAGTGAAGATACTATGTAAGGAGATAAAAATGGGGAAGCAAACACAAGATGTACGTAATTCACCCTAAGTTAGGCTATGTCCACGAGGGTATAGGAGTTCTCATTAATATTGAAGAGTTTACACAACATATAGTTCTAACATAATCATCATTAGTGAGTCCTAATGATAAGTTTAAGTACAATAACAACATTCGGGATTAATTGTAGGAGAAAGGTCTTCTTTTATAGTTGAGAAGAGTCTCTGGCTTCCGCTGCGGTTGATGTAAGACTCTATGAGCTTTATTCTAATGTTGACACATGTACTGTTATGACCGGCATCCTGGTTGGAGAAAAACTCTTGTACTTCAATAAAGGTACCTCTACACGAATTCTTCAATAGGTCTTTAAAAGTATGAAGTTAAGCAATGCTTGTTAATTTCGAGATTGGTCAAGTTTGATACTCACACGAATTTTCTTTTAAACTTCTCCTAATAAATGATGAATTTTTCCTTTCACTATTTCGAATCACTTATCATTTCTTTGATTGAATATTTATTTAGCCTGGGTATTATGTTTTATTCATCTTTATTCACTATACATTCCCTAACATTATTATTGCTATCGTGATAATGTTATCATTGACTAGGAATTGAAGCTTTTATACTGCACAGTGCTCTTTACATATTGTATGCAACAGCAATAATAAAATCTTATCTCAATAAGCGATGTTGACTATGAATTATAAAATGACAATATGCTTGGTTTTGCACTCAGTCTTCCGTTAGCTCCTCGTAGTCTGTGTATTTTCTTAAATTCTCTTTCAAGTCTTCCTAGAACTTCCTATACCTTTTTTGCCTTAAGCTTCTGTCTCATAATTGCTTCTTCTAACCAAAACATTTATAGGTCTTCAATTCACATGTCCAAACCACCTTAACTATTTTTCTCTCATCTTATCTTCAATTACGGTATCCCTTACTTTACATCGGATATCCTCGTTCTTAATCTTGTCATTTCTCATGTGCCTACACATCCAACGAAGCGTTCTCATCTCTACTATGCTCATATTTTGCACGTTTGATGCTTGACCGCCAACATTCCATGCCATAGAGCATTGCGGGCCTTATTGCCATCCTATAAAAAGATTTCATTGAGTTTTAGTAACGTACGTTTGCCGCACAACACACCTAATGCACTATTACACTTCATTCATCCAACTTGTATTCTATAGTCGAGATCTCCATCCAATTCTCTCTTATTTTTCAACATAGACCCAAAATAATGAAAGGGCTCACTCTTTTGTATTTCATGACCTTCAATCCTCACCTCTATCTCATTTTGACCCACATTTCCACTGAACTTGCATTCCATATACTTTGTCTTTAACCTACTTAAGCGAAGACCTTTAGATACCAACCTTTCCCACCAAAGGTTAAGCTTCGCATTTACTCCCTCCTATGTTTCATCTATCAACATTATATCATCTGCGAAAAACATACACCAAGAAATATCATCTTGAATATATCTCGTTAACTCATCTATTACCAATACAAAAAGGTAAAGACTTAAAGTTGAGCCTTGGTGCAACCTATGATTAACTTTCAGTTTGTCCTTCATGAGTTCTTACTACAGTCCTTGCTCCATATCCTTTATTAATTACTTAGATATATGTTACACATACTTCTTTCTTCTCTAGAATCCTCCAAAGAATTTCTCTTGGGACCTTAACATACACTTTTTTCAAATCTATAAACACCATTTGCAAAGCCTTTTGCATATCTCTGCATCGTTCCATTGATCTCCATAAAGAGATAGATTGTCTCTATAGTCGAACACCCTAGCATGAACCTGAATTGATTATTTGAGACCCGTGTCTCTTACCTCAATTTGTGCTCAATCACTCTCTTAAAGCTTCATTATATGACTAATTAACTTAATACCCCTATAGTTCACACAACTATTTTATGTAATGAACAGTAGAACTATAACCATAAACCATGTCTCTTTGTCTTTGTGGGAAACGTATCAGTGAATATTTCTACTATCTTGGATGATTATTATTATCAACATCAATACAATTCAAGAAGGAATATGCTAGGGAGATCTTTTTTTAGATCATATTTTTTAAAATTATATTATGTGACAATTGATAGTTGGATATCATCATTAATCATATAAAGAAGAAATTCAACCATCAATCGTAATGTCACGTGATCTACAAATATGGTCTAATTAAAAGGTGGTCTCGAGAGCATCAACCCTACAAGAACAAGGGGAAATACTCACAATTATATGGGACTACTATTTTATTGATTTCCATTGTTTCTTAAGAACGTCAAATTTACTGTTCAATGCATAAACCTTTCATCAATGCGCGTGCTCTATGGCAACTCTTGATTGATAAATGATGGAAGCTGAACATAAGGCAAAATCCTTCGCCACCTCAAGTAGGAGTACCGAATATCAAGACCAATCGAGGGGCTCTAATACAAGATAAAAATCAACGAGCCACATATACTAGAAGAGTGCTATCATTGTCACAAATTTAAGCACATTTCGGTAGAACCATCTTCAACCGATGATAAAGAAATATTGACGGTATAAATTTCACATAAACAAATAAAACCTTTGTGGAGCTGAGTGGAAGGATGTAAAAGCTTTGTACTTTCTTTTGGTGAATTGGATGCATGCATATACGACGAAGAGGCCATCCCATTGAAATATAACATTCAGAGATCAATGGAGAAGAGTTGATTGATAGATATAATGTATAGCTGAGATTATGCCACTTCTCAAAAGATTAGAGAGTTAGTTAGAGTTTGTAGAATGTGCACTGTTGAGGTTCTTGTATAAATACTCGTTGTAATAACTTTCCCGTTGAGAAAAGTAATACAAAAAGCACTTCAGCTTCTCTTTGCTTTTTCTCGACTTCTCAATCTTCTTCTTCCTCTGAGTTCTTGCTTTCTCCTTCTTGATTTACATTGATCACGTTGTTCTCTTTAAAGAATTTTGAAAGGTTGCCTCCGTTTTGGGGTCGGTGAACAATTTGATGAAGGCTTGTATTGTATCTATTTAGCTCGATCCTCAATGAATGTGTGCAACTAGTGGAGGAGTTCGTGTCTAACTCCCAAGTTTGTGTTTATCAGACTTAGGGTTTCTTGCAAAAGATCATTTTCTATTGTAATTGGAGTTCTCTATTTAGAAAAGTTGGGATACGAGATGTGAGTGGTTAAGTCTATTTTTCTTATATTTTCCTCTCTTTTTACAGTACCAGACGATCAAGGTCGACCCTTTTGAGCGTATCTAAATTTTGGTTGAACTACTCAAATCATATAAGTAATCCTAGGGTTATTATATATTTGTGTCATATTTACAAGTGATATTCTACATTATTCTATATATTAAGAGGAATCAAAGAATTTGCACGTGAGACGATATTTGTGTTACATTTATAGTACAATGACTATTTTTAAGTGTCAATAATTAAGATCTTTTTTAAATTAAAAAAAATTATAAAATTTCATGTTTTGCTAATGTAAATTTAATTAAATTTCAAATACAGAACTAAATGTGTACCTAGAATCGTCAATCCAATTGAGCCATGATAGGTGCAAATGAGGCGGTGAGTCGTGGTGATAATGGTAGTGGTCATGGGCATGTAGTGGTGGTGATGGTGCATATAAATGGTTGTTTTTTTTAAGCTCTCACTTTCATATAATTTTAGAAATGACAACTAGTTTGATGAAATTTAAAACTCGGATTTATGCTCCAAATTTCTTTTGTTCACATAAAATTTCTAAATTTTTTATGTTTATATATCCAAACAAAGGATTTGATTTATGTCATTTTAGAAATCATGTTTTCTTCAAATTCCAAGATTATTTTCCTCACCCAAATTAAGGTTGCTTACATTTGTAATTTACTTCATTTTCTATTATATCTCTCGCACACCCTTCATCTCTCCTTCTTCAGTAACGCACTGCCAACTTCCATCACATGCCCCCGCATGTTTGATACTCTAGTTTCGTATTAAAAAAATTGTGAAGGGTAATAATGTAATTTCCTTTATGGTAATATAATCAATCAAATGCTCTTTCAGCCCTATATATCCCCTCAAACGTCCCTGAAGCGGTTTACTATGTATTCATATGTACTTCATGTTTCTCTTTGTAACTTTTTTTAGTTTTCCCATTCAACCTAGGTTTCAGCAGCTTCAAAGACCAAGACCTAACGGAATATATGGAAGATCATCATCAACATCAAGGCCAAGACCCTGACGGTAGTAGTCCAAGCAACGGCTCGACCGAGAGAAGCCCTGAGCCGGTGAGGTCAAGATGGATACCGAAGCCAGAGCAAATCCTAATTCTGGAGTCAATTTTCAACAGTGGAATGGTGAATCCTCCCAAAGAAGAAACTGTGAGAATAAGGAAACTGCTTGAGAAGTTTGGCTCTGTTGGGGATGCCAACGTTTTCTACTGGTTCCAAAACCGCCGGTCGAGATCTCGCCGCCGACAACGGCAGTTGCAGGCAAGCCTTGAACAAAGGACCAATAATAATATAAACAGTAATCCAATGACTTCTCTTTCTCATCACCAATTGCGTGGTGAAATTCAGTACGGAATAAGCTGCAGTGTTCCTGCTGCTGCTCCTCCCTTGGCTTTCGGAGCTTCTCCTAATAATTTCCTTATGGGTTCTTCATCTTCTTCGTCTTGTGGCCATCATCTGATAACAGATCATGATGTTCATCATAGTACTGCTTGCGTTGATGATCAGTTCTTTCCAGTTTCTAGTCAAATGGGGTTTCCGGAAATCGAGCAGAGCTCCGGTGTAACGTCTGCGTTAGGAGGAGGCCCTTCTGATACCTCAAATTTCCACTTCCAGTCTGGTAATTGCATGGACCGTTTCACTAATTTTTATACTTTGTTTGTACAGCTATATATTCGCACTCTTTTATATAATTACATTCTCTCATCTGAGCTCAAATTAAATCAGTTTTTCATTTCTTCAGTACGTTTAATTTGTTATATCAGTTTCCTAAAGCAATTGTTTTCAATTTGATTGAGTAATATTACACTGTTGAAGTTCCATAGATTCACAATTAGTATGAGAACGACGGAGTATATAATTCGGTAGCAGCTTTTTGTTGATGTGACAGTTATTGTGTTTGAATTGTATGAAAGTTGTAGATTTCCCTAAATCCATGTAATTCCTTTTTGTGGCAGTCTTTTCCACTCGGTTTCAGATTGCTTTTAAGAAAATTTTGCAATGAAAAAGTGTAACCTTTTTAGGTAGTTGAAATGGATTCAAAAGAAAAAAGAAAAAAAGAGTATACCCCATATACATTAATTATTGTTTGACAATAATATCGATTTCAATTATAATAACAATCTGCAAAACTTCATTGTTAATTCATGAAGGATATTCGTTAAGTTTCGTAATACTTAAATGTAAGGAAAAATATTCTCTGCTTTTGTTTGCCCTAAGATTCTGTGATCTTTTTCTTGTACAAAAGCCTTTTTGTGTTCTTTTGGACCTTGACACTATGAAACCTGAAGAACATCTGCATTAGTTTAATGAATCATCCTCAAGGATTTAATACTGATAAACTCAAGTGCTAATCGAATCAAGAGTCTAATGTCTTTTTCAATTATGTATTTGTTAATGTGAGCCCTTTATTCCTTGAACACGGGTTGAAAGCTCCGGCAAGATTTTCTCCAATAACCTTTAATTTGTTTTTGAATAATCCTAGCTCTTGTATGAGTTCTTGACCCATCAATGAATATCATATCTCTCTCAAAACTCAAATTAAGAAGCTTAGCTATTACGTGAAGTACTGAATCCATGAAGGGTCCATTGATTTATTTTCAGGTCTCATCACAGTGTTTATTAATGGATTTCCAACAGAAATTCCCAAAGGGCCACTTGACATGAAAGCCGTGTTTGGACAAGATGTGCTATTGGTTCACTCCTCTGGACTCCCACTTCCAATCAATGAATTTGGTTTCTTGGCACACAGCTTGGAGTCTGGTGAAAGCTATTTCCTGGTATAATACTCTCTCTCTCTCTCTCGTGATTCATAAATAAATTTACATTGTTATATATACTGCTGATTAAGTCGCCAAATGTTTTGTTAATGCAGGTTTCAAGACCAAGTTAAGTAAATTTAAGCTGCACCTACAATATGGGAGCTTCCTACATGTTTCTTCTTCATCTTGCCTTCTTTTCTGGTTTCGTTATCGTCTTCACTTTCCCCCCACCCCCACAGTGTGATTATTAGAAAAATATATCTATATATTAGCTACCATGCATGATAGTTTATGGTCAATCAAATTATATCCTATTTCTCTTCTTTCTTTCTTCATTGTATTACTGAAATTGACCTCATCAGCATTGCACAACATAATTTAGGGACTTCGTATATGAAACAGCAGCATGTTAGCTTGCATATTTTTTTAGAACAATATGGATATTAGATTGGAATGCTGTGTTTTTTATATTAAAATCTTGTCGTGGATATAATTTAAACTCATAATATCTTTCAACAAAGATGGTTTGCCTATATATATGTGGCTTAAATGTGGAACTTAAGGTGACAATACACAATATGTTTTTCTCCACTTGTGAATATGAAATCTAGGTTTAACTCAAAGATTGTGAGTTTGATTCATGATTATTATGTTTGGCTCGTTGTGTGGCTTAATCAAATCTTCTTCGTCCCCAATTTCCCTCTCTGTATAGAATAAAGAAATGTGACATTTAGGACCATTACTCGGCCAAATACTCTAGCTAAGGCCTTGTTTAGAATTTTGGTTCACATTGAAATATTGTTTAACTTCAAACTTAAGCAGTAAAAAGTGTTTGATAAAATAAACATCTAATTATTCTAAAAGCAATGGAATCTGACAACAGCTTTTAAAAGCCACATCTAAGTTGTTTTTGAAAGCTTTTTCATAAGAAAACCGTAGCCTTTAATGAAGTTTCAATTCTCTTAACCCTCATTGGTTTTTAACTTTTTAGAAATGAAATCTACTTAATCACCCCACCCCAAACCACAACCGTCTGTGCACAACCCCACTCAACAGCCTCCATCTTCCACCACCCGCCACCACTTTCAACTGCCACCACTTCCTACCACCTTCATCCCAACCAACCCCTCACCACCATGATCAGTCCTCTGCCATCACCATTGTTGCCACCACAACCGATATTTGCCACCACCACCACTTGTATCACTCCAACCAAACCCCATCACCAACCAATGTTCTAAAATAGCTTGACGGTAATCGGGCGGTAGCTTTTGATAGGTTATTGGCCTTATTATATTGTATTCTTTGTTTTGGCTTTGATATATGGTGGTTGCGGCAACAATGATGTTGCCAGCTGTTTAAGTAAACCTATCGACCGCAAGAGCTAGGAAGACCCACATAATCCCGATGATAATATGATAAAGGCTAGCAGAGGATGTCTTATGATTTGGAAGAGCATCAACTCCTTGATTACCTCCCTTATAACTGTGAAAAGATCGAAAATGTATTTGGGAACTCTAATGCAAGCACTTCCTCTACTTCACCCTCAAGTGGGAAAGCACCAACTGAAGAAAGCTAAGAAATCAAGAACCAAAAGCAAAATCAACTTTCAACCAATAAAATTTCAATCTCGAGCTAAAGCTAATTCAATAGCTTTAATTATTGCTATTACCTATGGCACAACAAAATTCGATATAAAATAGAGTAAACAGTTAGCTTTTCACTAATCTAAGAATTCAAGTAACAAGTTTAATATTGAAATTACTGATTAAAAATCGAATAACTTGAATTAGAAGAATGTCATTCTAGCCAGTGTTTAAAATATCGGTATGGGTGGAAATATCGATATGCAAATTTGTGAAATTATTGACAGATATATCAAATATCGATATCGATATCAATTGCTTTCGATGGAAATGATGAAAACTTAAAATGAAACTTTAGGGATTGTCAAACATTGGTTTGAACGAAATATAAAAGTTTTTCCGATGTGTTAGAAATATCAACGATATCTGTTGATTTTAGCTTAAATTTAAGAGTTTCTCCGATATGAGGTGAAGTTTAGACTTCAACCCCCTTTCCATATCTTTCTCTGATTTTTTGAATATTTTCATAGAAATATCAACCATATTGAAGAAATTTTAAACATTAATTATAGCTCATTCTAACTATTAAATTGTCAACAATCAACAATAGCACAACTAGGTATGTACAAACAAGGCACGGTGTTTAGTGTAACGTGTATCCACTTCTTTCAGCCAAATATGTTTTCAGAGGTTCGTCGGTGGGTGAATATGAGATTCTTCAGATCTCTTATCAAGAAAAAATACGCAACTTTTATTTCTTCTGCAGCAGCTTGCCTTCAGTTTCTTTAGGAATCCCTTACTTATCAAGAAAAAATAAAAATTAAGTTCCAAACTTTACTCTTTTAAACTAGAGTTAAAGTATAATGACCAATTCTAAACTTTACTCACTCATAAAAAATACTAACTAAATTTGATTTTTTTTTTTTTTTTTTTTTTTGGGTCTGACTCTCACACTCATGATGGTACACTACTAATCACTTAAGGTTATAATATGTGTATTTGGTCATTAATTAATATTATATCCTTAATGTTTTATTGTGATATTGTAAATTTAGATCATATATTTTAAACAAGGTTTCACCTAATTAACATGTGTTGAAGTTTTTTGTGTTTTTTGTTTGGGAAATGTTATTGGCACTCCAAAAATCTCATTCTACACTCCTCAAAAGTGTATTTTTCTTTCCTAATATAGAAAGTTTGGAATGTAGAATAAGATTTTTGGAATACTAATAACAATTCCCTTTTGTTTTTGGTAACTAAAGAAACAAAAGGGTTAGGCGAGTCGAACTATATTCAAAAGGTTTGGCAGTACTACAATATGTTAACAACTTAAAATTATGTGGGAAAAGACACTTTTTCATATAGATATTTTCCTCATTACTTGCCAAGACACAAATAAGCAACTTCCTTCTTAGTGTTTCCCAATCGTTGGGTTGAATGTATAGAAAAATATGGCTTAATTTTCTAAGAATTCTAGGTAAGTATATACAAAAGTATGGCTTAATATGGTTCTTCCTGTTGACCGCTCTTGTTTAGGTACACATATATAACCATTACTCCTACCTCATCGTTTATCTTCGTTCTAAATCTTTTGGAATCTCTCAAATTTTCATTTTTTGGGCAACCTCCAATTTTCTTCTCGACCCGAACAAAAATAAGTGGGGAAAATATTGAACATAGAAGTTGATGAAACTGCATGGCCAGTAGTACGTGCTGGATTCCTCTTCTTGAATAAAAACCCTAGAAAAGAATAAGCAACTTGGCATCCACACCGACCAATATAACCAATCCAAAACAGACGGATGTTCGGTACGGAATAAAATACTGTGTGATGTCAAAATTTATAACTTTTATTGGCTGGCATCTCCTTTGAAATTGCTTGTTTAACTTTCGTTAGATTCTATGGTTCTATAGATGCCACAATAGAAAATTACTGTGCTTAAATTTTAATATACATTGTTAGCAAGGTTATTGATCTTCTTGTACTTGACCAACGAACAGCCAGTCAACCCTTTTGGGAATCCAATGTTGAAAGTTTCAATGAAAGGGGGGGTGCCATCTTACATCTATTTTTACTTCATACAACCTTTGTTAATTTATGTTTATTGATATTCATCAATTTATTCGATTTAACGACCGTAAATTAATGGAAGGTTGAAATCTATTTTTAATGAATTAAAGAAAAATCTTGTTAACAAAGTTTGTCAATATCCTTGTTAAGTGGAGATGTTGGTTTTGTAAAACTATCCTTAAAAAGGTGGTCATGCGGTTGCTCATGTGACAATTTAATGAGGATATTGACCATTTTTTACGGAATAACCAAAATGATTTACGATAAACAAACTTAGTTACTTAAAGACCACTTGTATCGATTTTTATTTTCAAGAACCAAATTGAGGAGTTATGTCCATCTTATAGACTATTTTGGCTAAAAGGGGTTGGTTTGACAAAAGTAGCATGAAAAAGGTAGTCATGTGGTTACTCCATGACAATTTAATAATGATGTTGACACATTTTTCGGAATGAGCAAAATGATTTATAGTGGATAAACTCAAAGACCACTTCTACGATTTTCAATCGTAGAGACCAAAATAAGTAGTTATGATAATCTCAAAAATCATTTTAGATAAAACACCTAATTCGACTGCATTTTCATAAAGTTACAACATAGAAGGAGATTTGAAGATCTTGCATACAATTAAACAAGATATTCAAGTTCATTGGCATATTTTATCTATCAAAAAGGCTATTTTGACACATTATGCATCAAAATCCTAACCATGCGCTAAATCGCATCTTTCGAGAAGCTAACATGGCATCAATTGATTCAACTACGGTAGGGCGCAACGATAATCAGACTTTGTATATTTGGTGATTCTTTCGGACATTCTTTTTAAATGTATAATGGGTGATGTTAATGTCCTCCTATATCATCTTTATCGATAAATCATATCATCCTTGTTAAGTTCTTGAGCTTATGCAAAAGCTTACCCAGTCCAAGTAAGCCAGCACTTGAAGATTCAACTCCTCTTTCATCTTCCTCATAAGCTCACCAGTACGCAATGAAGTAATCTTATGACACGGAACCTGAACTTGGCGTACTCAGATTCATCAAAACTTGTGATAAAGACTTCTCATAAACCCTAAACCTGTAGAGAGATCCTCTCTGGATCTCTTCCACCAAGACCACCAAATCAAATGATCTGGACCCTTGAAATTTGATCAAAAACTAAAATTATTATAACTTTTAAAATGAGCCCCTGTTTTTAACCGTTGAATCAAATTTTAAAGATCTGAATCACTTGATCTGATGACCTTGGTAGAAGAGATCCAGAGAGGATCTCTTTCTCCTAAAATACCCACCCCATAATGTCCTAAACACAAAAACTAGGGCCTGAAACAAGGGGCACGGATCAGAAAGGAATGAAAGCCCAGGTCTAAACAGTTAAATTACATGTAGAAAAATGGGTACCAATGGACCTATCGCACTTGGGCCCCAAACTGTCCAAATTGATGCTATTCCAATACCATTATCGTGACCTCGAAATGCAAAGTAACAAAATTTCAAAAATAACTTTCTTACAAACAAAAATTAAAAGAATTATTCCCTTTATTGGACTAAGGTCTAAGTTCGAGTCAAGCTGCCAAAAGTCTATTGATGGACGATCTGTAAAAATTAAAAACCATGATAAGACCTTCTATGTAAGTTCCCAAAAAAGTTTACGGTATGCCCTGACCTTGAAATGGAATAGCCTCTCATTCCCTAGACTTTTTGTAACAAAAATATAAAATAAAAAAGGAAAAGAATGTCTTCATATTGTCGCCCTAATCATGGTGAAAGGCTAGCACATATCAAGTGAACTATAATCAGAAACAGGCATTACTCTCTAAATTTTGGCTGAATTAGAGTTTTAGTCCTTAAATTAAAAATTTATGAGTTAGACTCATCATAATAAGGAGCAGTGGTCCTCTTGGGAAACACTGCTAGAATGTATATACAAAGTAAAGAGTTTAATACTAAGAGAAAAAAATGTTTAAAAAGGGAACAAGGGACAAAAATTTTAACATGATTACTCAAAATGATCATTGCTACAGATTGTGATAAGTTTATAAACCAATACTTAGAATTTTTTTATTTCAACATCAAAAAGCTCCCGACTAAAGTTTTCGACTAAAATTTAGAGTCAATGCTCTAGTTTTTTTCTAATCTAAAAGGAAACAAATTTATACTCTATAAGAACTGGACATGAGTGTGCCAATTCTCCAATGAAAAGAAATGTCAAATGTACCAAATAAAAGCAACCGCAATTGACATGACCATTCCCCTCCTTCACCCCTACTAGCTCTCACTGCATATATGATTAGCACCATTGTCCTGCCGACAACATTGTCATTCACAGTTATTTGGTATCCTTTGATAAAAGCTCATGCAAAGATCCGTAGACCCTACTGGAAATTCTTTCCTTGTTTCCATGTGTCTAAGACCCTACTTGAATTTATCAATTACCCAAAAAGTTACGTTGCGTGACCATGTAACACTTCATGATATATCGACCTCATATTATGACTACAATCAAATTACATCACATGTATTTTTTTAGTCGAATATATTGCATGTATTTTACTGTTCATATGCCCTGAAGTATAGAGAGGAATGTCTTGAAATGATTCACTTCAATGAGCTGTTCTAATTATTTGACCAATTTTAGACCAGAATATTCCTATATTCAATCATTTATACACCTTACAGGGTAAGTCAATCACAATGTTATAATCTGGGTGAATTGGTAACACTATATTAGCATACTAAATTGTGTTACAACTTACAAGCACACAATAATTTTTCAAAGATTGCACCCAATAACACATCCCTAATACGGTTAAATAGCACTAATACCATAGTGACGGAGTATTGCCAAAGGCAAAAATGTTCAAAATGATCCACTTAAATACCCAATTTATAACCAGCATTCACATAATATTAACACGATTAACAAAGGCAAAAAGTCAGTACACTTTCGTTTGTACTAAGCCATTAGCATTTCCACTCATAACTTATAAGAACTGGTATGTGCTACGAATTGGCTCAATACCATATCAATTTTGCATCAATACCATATCAATAATCTACATCGATAATCAAAGTGCTATTTAAATGGGGGCATTTTACACATTTTATCTCTGTTAATAGAGAAAAATTTGTGTCAGGCTCGACTGGTCACTGGTTGTGCTAAATGGCACTGCTACCGACTCAAAACTTGTCATTTGTTTTTACTTATTTGGTTTAACTAATGGCAAGTTTTCAGTGGATGGTAGTGCCACTCAGCACAATCCAGTGGCAAGTCGAGCCCCACATAAGTTTTTGTCTTGTTAATGGAGTCAATTCTAGTGATAGGCAATGATTATTGCAGGTGGGTAACTGCGGTTATTTATTCCTAACATTTTAGACTCTTACTCGTATAACTGTTTATCCGTTGAGTAATTGTCTAAACAGGTGGGCACATACCCCCAACCATCTATAAACGGTTAACCGTACACATAACCACATACCTATTTAATCGAATCGTAACCACATACTTGTTTACCTGTTTTTTTATTTTTATTTTTTAACAAGTTGTTAAATTAAAAAGAAATTTTGTCATAATTTTTCTTTTACTGACAATTGAACACCGTTATATGTACAATGTACAATTTAACATGCATTTCTCTATTCAAATTCTTTAAGTCCTCATACCATTCTAGAAAGTGAAATAAGAGTTTACAGACAATATTTATAGCTATTATCAATGAAGGTAATATAATATATTTTCCAAGAATTGATCGGGTTACTAACAAAAGACCTCTCATTACTTGAGCAAGTAAATTCAAATTTCAAAATAGTATTTCTTTTTATAAACTAAAGCATATTCGATAGAAAATTCATGCATTTTCAACATACTTTTCCCCTACACCCAAGCAAGTCTTCAATTATAATATCTAGACTATTATTAATTAAAATAAATTAAATTCCATATGATTACAAAATAAAGCTTCTAAAAACTCTGAGGTAATCCTTATCTTGAATACTAGATGATTCAAAACTCCAAAATATCCAAAACTAAACTTTCAAACACTCTAATATTATGGCAACATTCATTACAAAATCTAGTTGACTCGTTGTCGCTTTGAGTCTCCATCTTATCAAGTACCGCAAACAACCACACAAAAACCAAAAATATAAGCACTGTACTATATTTGTTCATTATACATGCATATATTGCATCAGTAGCCAATAATTACGTTACGCAAAATGAACCAATTATTTCGTATAAATACAAACTAATTGATTTCCTATAACATACATGCCCTATGTTAATGTTGATTGGATACTGATACATGCATGGACGGAGCCACTATGGGCGGATGCCCCGACTCTTTTTCTTTTTTATTTTTAAATTGTACAGTTTTGCATCCTAATGATCAGTACTAATTAAACTACAATTAAAATTGGTAGACAATTAAAATAATTTTACCATTTTGGATCCACAGTAACCCACGTGATGACAATTAAATTAATAATTAATTTACTTACTTGTAACATTAGCACTAACTTTTCTAGTTGCTTTTGTCACCGTTGAAATAATATTTTCAGCTATGAAATTTCTGAAGAATCAATTCAGAAATAGGATGGGAGATGGATAAATGATAACATGGTTATTTTTATAAAGAGAGAAATATGTGATGATATTGATAATAATGTTGTCATGCAACGCTTCCAAAACATGAAAACGCGTCGAGAGATATTGTAATATATTGTATGTAAAACTTCATAAGTTAATATATAAGTGTCTGTTTTTTAAGTAAATTCTTAAGCCTTTTAATTGTGGTTTTGTTATTTGAGAATGCTGTTGTTCATACAAATTTATGGCTTCATCGCTGAATGTACACTAGAACTATGGAGGCAATCTTTGATTTTCTCAGCATCAATCACCAACCTTTATAACCTACGTGGTGAGAAAAATGTAGATGCTGCTAGTGTGCTAAGAGAAAGCATATTTCTTAACAAGATTTTTTGCAATAGAAAAAGGCAAATCTACAATGTAATGGAATATTGTTTTTGTTTTCCTCCATCTATCCTAACCCAAAACAATCAGCAGCACAATTTAAAAGAACAGAAAAGAAAGGGAAAAACATGGCGTGAGAAGCCATGGAGTTGGATGGACAAGCAGAGGCCCTTCACCAAAATAGAAATTGTCTTTTGCAAATTGGAGTCTCAAGGGACATGGATAGCTCAGGAGATATCTCTCTCACAAACGAAGCAACGGTTAAATGTTTACCTTGTTTGTACCTGCGGCCAATATCCATAATCATCTATTTATATTTCACAAGTAAACGGTTATACTGATAATACTGTATTTATTTAAACGGTTATCCATAATCGTAGCCATCAAGTATAAAAGAGCGAATAATCGTGGTTACCCAAACCCTCGGATATTTTGACCATCTTAGTCAATGCCATGTCAATATAACATCAGACTATCTCCAATTGAAAGGGTTAAAGGTCAAAAAGCAAAACAAATGGCCTAATTTGCCTAAAACTCATCTTCAACCGATAGATGAGCTATAATTTTATAGAGCCTACCATGCATTATTTAGCCAAAACGATACCAGGTTGGCAAAACGTTGCCCTTCTCTTAGCCCTTTGTTTAGACTCAACTCCTCAATTGCAATAATTGATTCAAATTAAATGGGTACATTTAAAAACATCTAACAGTAGTTTAATTAAATTAACCAATAAATTTAAAATATAAACTTAAAATTAATAAATTATTGAGGGGATTACGTTTAGTCCATTCGGTTAAATATGATATATATGAGTATAACCTGACACTGTTCATTTAAAAATAATTGTTTCCATGGCGATAATTATGCACCTGAGCTAAACATATAATTCTAAACAGGACTATGCTTAGCCCTTTCTATTAGAGATGGTTAGTACTATTTCCTCAAACATGTATCGTAGGAAAGAGACTTCAATGACCTTGTGTCAAAGACTATCTCCATGGCCTTCTACCCTACAATGCTACGATGCTGGTGAACTCATTCCACCCAATCCTAATATATTACTATCGTAAGAGAAGTCTCGTAGGAGTACTAATAGGTGCAGTTTCCTGTGAAATTTCCAATTACAACATCTGCATACCTTAATTTTTATACATCATTCATGTATGAACTGCGTTACTGCCGACAAAAGCACATACCTCACAAATGCAGAAACCATAAGCACAAAAGGAGGAGGTTAGTAAATGCAAGGGCGAGGAAAACATGGTCAAACAAGTAATACCAAAACTCACAAATGACATTGACAGAATTGACATTTAAAACACTAGTCGCTAAAAAACATGGGCACTTTCATTCATTGATTTGAGTCAGTAAGTAGTCTGCAGGAAGCAACCGTGTACAAAATGCCACACAACAAAAACAACATCCAAAGACTCCTACTTTTAACCCACTCTCAAATATTTTTAACTCTCTCCCCTGTTTTCTTTTACCTAGTTTCACTGTAGTTTCTCTTTTGCCTTTTATAGAACTAACTGTACACAAAGACTGTAGAGATTATGCCCCCCTCTCAATTTGCAGACCTACTTTTAACCACATAACAGAGATTAAGCTCTTGCACTTTTGCTAAAGTTTTAGGCTTTTTCTGGATATCCCGAAGCATACTGGAAAATCCACTTCCGCTGGCTAAAAACCCACATCTTTTTTTAAGGAGTGCCTACTCCAAGGAAATCAATGAAATGGAGGGTGGTGATCTTCTCATGATGCAGATTTTGATTTTCCCCAGATAAGGACAGATTGGTCCTGGTGGTGGTGACTGAGTCATCCCCAGAAATATCTGAATTTGAATCTGATTGATGGCCAGAAGTATCCACACCCTTCATAGCTGCAGCTGCTGCTCCCACTCCTCTCGCTGGCCCAGTGCTCCTGCAGAAACCATTCCCATTGCTACCAATCATCTTTTTAAATCCCCCATCACTTGATGATGTGCCTGCAACAACAAAAAAGTAATAATAAGTAACAAATATAGATTATAATTTTAAATAAACTAATTAACTTATTGTTCTCGTCCAAACTCGTTTAACTTTCTGATGAGATTCGGTGCATGTGAGTTTGGCATAATCCGCACCGACCAATGAACAATTTGGTCATGCATTTGTTATGATTCATTTATAATGTGAAAAAAGAGGTAACATAAGGAACAGTCACATACCTATATGTGATCCAAAGTTATGGTGGTGATGAAAATGATGGAACTTGGTGAAAAAGGTGGGAGGTGGTTTGTTTGAGGGAGTGAGGGAGAGATCAGTGCATGTTGAGGCAGACTGAGTGCTGTCATCATTGATGGTGCTTATAGAGATGGTTGATTCAGTACTGGTGGAAGGATTTTTTGGGAAATTAGCAACCATATGAGGAGGAGGAGGTGCAGGAGGAGATGGAGGTGGAGGAGAAGAGGGCTTTCTCCTCTTGAAAACATTGGATTGCTCTCGGTGTCTTCTGGCCATGATCACGTGCCAATGGTTCTTCACAGCATTGTCAGTCCTTCCAGGGAAGAGCCTTGCAATCATTGCCCATTTGTTGCCATAGAGTCTGTGGGCAACCAACAGCCTCTCTTCTTCCTCCTCACTGAATGCCCTTTTGTTGATCCTTGGATCTAGCTGGTTGAACCACCTCAATCTGCAACTCTTCCCTACAAATAAAAAAAGTCAGATGATGAACAATGACAAATTAATTAGTTTACATTTTCATAATAAAAAACATGTAAAGAGAAGTGATTTTCCGCACATTTTTTTAACATCCTTTTTTTACATCCGACGGATAGAAATAAACATGGTGCGAAAAAGGAGAAAATGAGTGTGCGAAAATCATTGAACTTTGAAAGTAACAAATTCAAAGAGGGGGATAAAAAGGCTTACCTGATCTACCATCAAGTTTCTCAGCTATTATGTTCCAGTTTTGAGGACCATATTGTCCCACAAGTTCTTTGAGCTTTGAGTCTTCAGCTGGTCTCCAATGGCCTCTGGCACAACTCTTAGCACTAGTTCTCCCACCAGCAGGGCTCCTATCTTCATCATCATCTTCCTCTCCAACAAGATTCAAATTCAAAGGCACGGGCCGTTTCAGATCAACCCCAAAAAGCACACCATGATCGCTTATATTTTTTGGTCCCCCATTTTCCAAAGCTTGAAAACTCCATGGTTTGTTGGTTTGCTGGGATGATGAGGGACTGAAAGGCCCAAGCCCCATTGCAGAAGTAGAAGAACCACCAAAGGTGTTTGAGAGAGAAAGTTGATTAGAAACAGGAGGTGGTGGCAAAAAGTTCAAATCTTTGTATCTGGTTAAACCATCACAATCACTCCTCAGATGTTGAAAACCCATTAGTAACTCTCACTTGGAAAATTAACCCACCAAACAGAAATCAGAAGGGTAAAAACCCAAGATGCAGAATTTTCGAAGAAAATGGAAGAAAAAAAGCAGAAAACTTGGGGTGGTTTCTTTATCAAACAGAAAAAGTGCAATGCCACAGGGTAGAACAACAGAAACCAAGACTCGGGTTTTTTCTGTTAGACCACTCTATCTGTGAGATCACTCTATCTGTTAGATCACTCAAACAAAGGTCTGTTTGGCAGGGAAGAAAGTGAGAGAAAATGCAAGAGAAAAAGCAGAAACCAGAGAAAATATATTAAACAAGAAAGGGAACAGGAAACAGAGAAATGGGTTTGGTTTGGGAGAAAGAAATAAACAAAAAAACCGCACGGTTGAAATTTGATTCTCTCCTCCTCTCAAAGAGCCAGGGTGCTTATTTTTAAACTGATATCATCATCACACTCTCTCTCTCTCTCTCTCTCTCTCTCTCTCTCTCTCTTTCTAATATAGAAAAAATGGGGTGGTGGGATTGTTTGGAAAGCAGGAAAGTCTGTGCTGTTGTGCATGCACTTCGAGAACCGCTCGTGTGGGTGGTGGTGGTGGGGATCCAGCCTCTCTCTCTCTCTCTCTCTCTCAACTCTTTCTCTCTCTCACTAAAAACCGATGCTTTTGAGTTTTGAGATTTTCGTGAGTGTTGGGTAGGGGATTAATGTAGTCGTAGAAGTACTACTAGTTGTACTCGTAGTGCTGCATTGCTTGTCCCATCTTCTTTTATTTATTTATTTTTCTTGTGCGTTGGAAAACCAGAATCTGTTTGTCTGTTTGCGAAACGTTTCTTTTGCCTTGGTTTTCAAAGAACGGAAATTTTCAGCGACCGAAGTCTTAATCTTCATCCCCACCACCTGTCATTGCCCTTCTGTGCTCTTGTACCACCATAACTGAAAATACTATTGTCATTATTATTATTTTTTCCATATATGATACTCGGACTATAAGTACATTTCACGCCAACTAAGTTTGATGTCAAATTCAAAACGGGGGGCACCAAGTTTTAATTTTTTCACTTTGCACTCCCGATATTTTGAAATTTGTTCAATGTACATTTTCCGTCAAATTGTAATCTTTATTATGTTATTGAGAGTCCGAGGCCAATGAAATTTCGGTAACAAAATTCAATAGAATGCTTCTCATATTTACACTTTCTGTTGAGACTCTTTTGGCATTATGATTACAATTAAACAAAATGTGTGAATTGGACGAATTTTAAAACTTCAGAGTGGAATGTGAAATAATAAAAAATTCATGTTTGATTTTCAAACTAACACCAAAACTCAACTGTTCTAAAACTACCTATCCAATCATATTCAACTAATTTCTATTTGTTTAAATTTGATTTCCTTTTATTATTTTCCTTTCTTCCCCCCCCCCCCCCCTTTTCCTTTGTATTATTCCATATTTGTAAATAGTGCGTGCATGTCCTTGTTGCAGGATCCAACTTGGCAAAATGTACCAGCCTAAGCAAAGTGCGTTTTTCATGTTCTTCTGCAAGCAAACGTTTTTCATTCGACCGACTAATTAAGAGTTGAATAGCTGTGGCAGTTTTTTAATTTTTTTTTTTAATAAACGATATTATCTATACTAAATTGTGAGAGAGTTGGCTAAGTCTCGTAATGGTAAAGCAATAATATAGTTCAAATTTATTTTTAGGCTAACTGTGGCATGTTTTTTACGAATCTCGACATTGGAATTAACGGTGATTTCCGAAATAACCGGATTGGAAACAAATTTATCAATTTTCATTCCAAAAATTCGAAGATTCGAAATTTCCAAATTCAAAATTTTCAACGGTGTTGCGTCAAAATTTTTTTGGCAATAATGGCTGATTAAATGTATATGACCTAGAAAAAAATGACAGGTTAGATGCAAATAAAAGAATTATGGAATTTTCTTTGTCTCATTGTGAAGAATTATTCATTCTTCTCATCTGATCGTGAACATAAAGCAAGTCTTTTTTTGCAACAATGGCAAATTAAATGTATATGACCTAGAAAAAAAATGACAGGTTAAATGCAATTAAAAGAATTCTTGAATTTTCTTTTTCTCATCGAAAAAGAATTATTCATCATTCTCATATGATCGTGACAAAAAACAAGTTTTTCTGGCAACAATGGCAGCTTAAATGTATATGACCTAGAAAAAAAAATGACAGTTTAGATGCAAATGCAATTAAAAGAATTATTGTCATATCCCCGCTCGGGGCGGATCACTTCCCGGGTCCGCTCCACCACCGTAGCACGATATTGTCCACTTTGGGCTTATCATTCCCTCACGGTTTTATTTTTGGGAACTCACGAGCAACTTCCCAGTGGGTCACCACTCATGGGATTGCTCTAGCCCCCTTCTCGCTTAACTTCGGAGTTCCTAAGGAACCCGAAGCCAGTGAGCTCCCAAAATGCCTTCTGCTAGGTAGGGATGGGAATATACATTTAAGGATCACTCCCCTGGGCGATGTGGGATGTCACAATCCACCCCTCTTAGGGGCCCGACGTCCTCGTCGGCACACATGCGGCCAAGGTTAGGCTCTGATACCAAATTGTCATATCCCAGCTCGAGGCGGATCACTTCCTGGGCCCGCTCCACCACCGTAGCACGATATTGTCCGCTTTGGGCTTACCATTCCCTCACGGTTTTATTTTTGGGAACTCACGAGCAACTTCCCAGTGGGTCATCCATCATGGGATTGCTCTAGCCCCCTTCTCGCTTAACTTCGGAGTTCCTAAGGAACCCGAAGTCAGTAAGCTCCCAAAATGCCTAGTGATAGGTAGGGATGAGAATATACATTTAAGGATCACTCCCCTGGACGATGTGAGATGTCACAATTATGGAATTTCTTTTTATCATAAAAAATAATTATTCAATCATTTACATCTGATTGTGAACATAAAACGATATTTTTCTTAATAATGAGATGAAGTAAAAAAGAGAAAAATCACAATTTTGTCGAATCTCATGTCTGGGGCCTTTAGGCCGCTAGACATAGAATTTTATCTCAAAATAACCTCGGTGCAATTTAACAACAACTCTCACTTTAATATACATTTTTACAAACAACCACTTCTTCGACTGGGACAATTGCATTTATTCAACGATTCCTAAATGCCTTCGGACATATCATTCCTAATATCTTATAACAATCGCTATGTAAAATCACTAGAAGAATTTGCCTCACATAAACATATTTTCACTATTCAGCCATCCAAAGTATAATTGACGGCCAATATATGAACTGTTTTTTTTCTCTTTTAAGTATCGAGGACCAACTAGAACTGGCTAGTCGACAAAGTTTTCGAAAGATAACTTGCAACAATTTTGTCCTCGCAACGAAATGAAACCAAAACTAAACTTTAAGTGGAATTACGCTTAGGGGATGTTAACCATCGTAATTAACTTAGGTTCTACAACAAAATTAATTGGAAGAATGAGAAGTAGTTCAACTTACTTACAAGCCCATTCAGGGTCCCTTCTCCCATCAATGTGGGATTCGTTATCAACACGCCTCCTCATATATTGCGAATTTTCAAGTCTAACACATGAGCAACACAACAAGGTAATGTTAAGCACGTGTGGCCGCTTGACTACACATGTGAGATAATCTGCTTTGTTACTATGAAGAAATATGGGTTTCCATCATAGAACTTTTTTTTGTCGAAATGATTATAGAACTAATTGACAATATGAAAACTAACCCACAATTCCTGTCCATTAAACCAAGAGTTGTGTTGATCTAGAGCTTAAGTGAGACTTAAGCCTGTAAGTTACTTAACTCTATAAGAGATTGTTTAGTGTGCTCAGAATATAAACATGTTTTAAGTATTATTATACAAATAGAGTGATATTTAAAAAAAAAAAAGGAAAAATTCTTTCTACTCGTATGATAATTGACATATTCCCATATTTTGAATACATAGAAAAATCTTTTTCGAAAGACATGAAATGACATGTTCTGTTCTTCTAAAACAACAAACGAGAGAAACCGGAGTATAAGTAAAACCAAAGAAACTTGATTGACAATGCAATGCAAGTGATCGGCTTTAACTTTGCACAACCAACGTCGCCAAACCCATCATTACATTTTATTTACCCCAGGAACACTCATCATTGCGTTTCACATTAAAAAACCAAAAAAAATGGTAACAAAAATAAAAGAAAGATAAAAGTAAATCCCATCACACAAAAGAAAAAATCGCATCACGAAAGAGAGTGAGTGAAAGATCTCGTTGTCATTGCCCCGAATCTGCGTAACAGAGAGAGAGGGCAAAGAGAGTAGTAAGGAAAGAATTGAGATATACTCCAGATCTTTATGTCTCACTTTAGAATAGTAGGTCGAAAGATTTAGATTGTTTAAGAGAAAAAAAAATTATATTGTTTAAGTTTTTTTACGTTTTTAAGTTAATTAGTTGGATGGACTAATAAGAGTCGTAAAATTAGAATTTGAGTAGTACGAATCTCTTAATATCGATCATCGGACACAAAGATTTAGAATAAATATCAATTATAAAAAAAAAAAGCACTAATAGAAATACATTTTTTCTCACTATTATTAAGTGGCAACGATGCTAATCATTTAGTAATTATTGTTATATAAGTTCAATGTAATACAATTTTTACGTAAATTTCGAAATTCAAAATTTACTTAGCAACGATTAATAAAGTAGTCAAATGGTGAGTTAAAATATTTTCCAGAAAACAACGCACCTTGCAAACGTTTGAGCTTTCTGAGACGCACACGTGCGAACGATGAGAGAGGAAGAGCATAGAGACGCAGCGACCGACAACGGTTTCATCGGTTTCCTGCTAACGTAAACACAATATTTTAATAATCTTAAAAATTAGATTAGTGGGCTTTTGATTAATTAATTTTTATTTACATTTTTGGCATCAGCATTATTGTTATTTTTACTTTTTTGGTCCATGCTTTCTCCACCGCATCTCCCATGCGCTGCCGTTTTGTCTGTTTCCCGAAACCGTTTGGCTTTTGCGTTTGGGGCTTCTGGTTACACGTGCGGTTGAATCGTTGTCGTACACGCGAACGGTGTTACTGGGGCATGACAATCTGGGGTAACGAAATCTATGAGGATATTGGACGTGGATCCCGTATCAAAGAGATTTTTCAATATGATCGGTACACGAGATTATACATCATCGTTTTATTATAAAAATTGTAAGATTTATGAGTTAAAAAATTAATAACTTAAAACATAAAATTTCTCACTTGTATTCCTATCACAATAAAAAAGTTCTTCCGCACTTGGAGGATATGTTAAGAAAGTGTTTGGGGAAAGTGGATGGACGAAAGTACCCCCGTGGTGTTGCGTGGAGGTGTTGGATGGACGAAAGTACCCACATGCCCTCGTCCACAGGATGTTCAAAATCTAATAGCATTGGCGGTTGAGTTCATCATGACATGATAATATCATGCATAAGTTTTCTCAGATGGTAAATATCATGAACGCTTTGCCTCTTGTAGTAGGAATCCAAATTTTTTTCAGGATAATGTCGTCTTAATAATTCATAAAAATAAAATTACATCTGATTTATACTTCAAATTCGTGTCGCTTTTGTTTTTGAACTTTTTGGAGGATATTTTCTTTCACGTTACGTG